CCCCATGCATGAATGAAAAATAAAAAGGCCTCAGGCGATTCTGATTCAAACACAACGCGTGGTCATTTTTCCACAACAATATAATAGGCATCACTGAAACCTGTTGGAGTGGGGACAATCAATGGGATACAATCATTCCAGGGTACAAAATATATTGGAAGGACATAACAGGTTGTGCGGGAGAGAGTGGCACTATATGTGAAAGAAAATGTAGAATCAAATGAAGTAAAAATCTTAAATGAATCCACATGTTCCATAGAATCTCTATGGATAGTAATTCCATGCTCTAATAAGAACAGAACAGTAGGGATCTATTATCTACCACCTGACCAAGACAGTGATAGTGATAGTGATGATGAAATGCTAAGGGAGATTAGAGAGGCTATCAAAATAAAGAACTCAATAATAGTGGGGGATTTCAATTATCCCCATATTGACTGGGTATATGTCACCTCAGGACAAAATGCAGAGACAAAATTTCTCGATACTTTAAATGACTGCTTCTTGGTCAGCTGGTACAGGAACCCACAAGGGGAGAGGCAATTCTCGATTTAGCCCTGAGTGGAGCGCAGGATCTGGTCCAAGAGGTAACTATAACAGGACCGCTTGGAAATAGTGACCATAATATAATAAGATTTAACATTCCTGTGGTGGGAAGAACACCCCAATACTGTGGCATTTAATTTCAGAACAGGGAACTGTGCAAAAATGAGGAGGTTAGTTAAACAGAAATTAAAAGGTACAGTGACTAGAGTGAAATCCCTGCAAGCTGCTTGGACACTTTTCAAAAGACACCATAATAGAGGCCCAACTTAAATGTATACCCCAAATTAAAAAAAACATAGTAAAAGGACTAAAAAAGAGCCACCATGGCTTAACAACCATGTAAAAGAAGCAGTGAGAGATAAAAAGGCATCTTTTAAAAAGTGGAAGGCAAATCCTAGTGAGGTAAATAGAAAGGAGCATAAACACTGCCAAATTAAGTTTCAGAGAAGCAGCCGTGTTAGTCTGTATCCGCAAAAAGAACAGGAGTACTTGTGGCACCTTAGAGACTAACAAATTTATTAGAGCATAAGCTTTCGTGGACTACAGCCCACTTCTTCGGATGCCTAGAATGGAACATATATTGAGGAGATATATATACACATATACAGAGAGCATGAACAGGTGGGAGTTGTCTTACCAACT